ATGAGATGGCTCAAGTAATGCACCATACCGTTTAAGCGATGGATACCCTTCACGTCATTGGGAGGCGGTGTCTCTCGAGTTGCCTTACTTTTTCCTGGATCAACCCTGACCCCTTGGGTTTTTAGCAAATGCCCATGGAAAATCACCTCGTCTTTCCGAAGTCCAATTTTCTCACGTTTGAGCTTGATGTTCTTTTGTACATATCGCAGTAAGAAACGTTGGAGATTAGCGTCATGCTCTTCTTCTGTCGAGCCATAGATCAAAACATCGTCTGTCTCGCATGTTACACCATTTTAATCGTCTACCGCTTGCACCAATTTCTTTTGAAAAATTTCACAACACCTACAAACCAAACGGTAAACGCAGCCAACGATAACGCTCGAGCGGCGTTGCGAAGGTAGAAGGGAAACTGTCTTCATCACCTAGAAACACGTGCCAGAATGCTAAAGGGAGGTCTACCTTCGTTAAACACTTAGCTTTGGCCAAACACGGCAAAAGTTCTTTTAGGTTACGTAGCGCATAATGCTCTCTACGCAAGGCCTCATTCAACGGTTTTGGGTCAATACACACGGGCAGATCGCCCGTCTTCTTCGTAATGATTGCGACCTGACTAACCCAGTCGGTTAGCTCGTCGACTTCGGCAATCACACCCTGTCTCACTAATTTGTTCAATTCAGCGGAGAGCCTGTCACACAGTGCAAATGGAACTCTCCTAGCCGGTAGCGCTGCCGGTCGTATCAAAGGATCTAAGGACAAGTGCGCGGTTCCCTTCAACTTTACCAAACCTGGATGAAACACAAACGGATACTGGTCACTAATATCGGTTTCTCCCTGGCAAACATGCACAAAACGCTCATGCTTAGAAACAATAAAACCAAGAGACTGGATCGAATTAATGCTGAGAATCGGCGTGAGCTCCTCCTCCACGATCACAAACTCCAGTCGATGTGAAGCTCCGTCTCTTGAGTTAACCACTTCGATTGTAGCTGAGCCCTTCGGATGAAGTCTGGAATCATTCCACAGACGCATCATCATCATCATTATACACGTTGGCTGCAGGTGGAAAACACCTCAGCTATTGTGCCGCAATACAAAAGACAAGAAAAGGAAAACAAACAGTGGCACGCCGGCTGAGTCCCCAGTAACGGATGGACATCGTTCCGGAGAGCTAACAGCTGGCTATCGTGCTGTAAAAAGTGTCATATTATGCCTAACGAGTGAGATGGTGATTGCAAGGGGGTGCTAAGCACGAGGAGGATGGACAAAGGAACTCACAACACAAACGCCGTTGGGGCGGGCTCCAAGCCATATCAGCAAGTGTGTCCAACCAAATGTGTCCACCGTTCTTAGGACCCCAGCCAGGCAGTTGGGATGCACCAACCGACGCCAACTTCGAAGTGTGGGTTTTCATCTCTCTCGACCAAGTCATCACTTGGCCTCCCCTCCTCCTCTTCCAACCGCACCCACAAAGCGCAAACAATGCACGTCGCGGAAGTCGGTGTGCTGGCATGCGCAACAAGTGGTTTAGCCATCGGAACCTGGTGCGTGCTATAATGGTGGTGAGCGGTTCACTCACCCTTCCTGCACCAAATACGCGACGCCGAACACGCTCATTGCTCAGGACGTGCTCCCACCAGACATGAGCCAAGCTGCGAAGGCAGCGATGATCGAATGTGACGAGCCTCTTCATGTCAGTCGACCTGCTGGGCCAGGTTTCACAACCATATAGGAGAGTTGAACGGATGGCTGCGTTATAAGCTCTGCTTTTCAGGGCGAGAGTAATGTCGCGTCTGCGTCACAAGTGGCGGAGATTAGCAAAAGCACCTCGAGCTATACGGTTCGTAACCTCATCTTCGATCTCTCGGGCGCTAATATAGCTGTCCAGGTACTTAAATTCCTTAACAACTTCTAGAAGATCACCACAAAGCGTTAGCGCAGGGTTGGGTCCCTGTCAATCTTGGAGAAGTACTTTGCATTTCGATGGAGCAAAGCATAGTCCAAAACGATTGACAGCCAGAGCTAATCGGTCCAATGCTGATTGGCATGTTTGGAAGTTGTCACAGATTAGAGCAATATCGTCCGCGTATTCTAAGTCGGGAAGTCGCTCACCAGGAAGTAGCTCCACACCTTGTAGGTCGTGTCCAGCGAACGCTGTTTCCATGACTTCATCAATAGCGAAGTTAAAGAGGAAAAGTGACAGCGGGCAACCTTGTCTCACACCGCTGGTGATACTGAAGGGTGGCGACAGTTTGCCATAAACCCTCACTCCGCCCGAAGTATGCGCGTACAGTGCTTTGATAATGTTTACATATTTATCAGGCACACCTTTCTTCAGCAGACAGTCCCAAAGGGCACGTCGATCGACTGAGTCGAAGGCACCTTTGATCTCGAGACACGACGACAGTGGGTCGCCAATAAACATGTCGGTGCTCCAACCATTGACGCAAGATGAAGGTGTGGTCGATGCAACCCCGTCCGCGAGGAAATCCGGCTCGTTCTTCACGAATCTGGCTTTTACGATTGCCAGTCAGTCTGTGGAGAATGACAGAGGCAAGCAATTTAGTCGCCATCGAACTCAGACTGATCCCTCTATGATTGCCGCATTCCGAACGTGAGTTTCCCTTGAAAACTGGGACAATGACGGAGCGGTTCCAGTTTGTCGGGACAGTCTTCTGCTCCCAAAGTTTCACTAGCAACTCGTGTAAATCATCTATTAGTGCAGGTCCCCCGAATTTGAAGAGAGCTGGGTGAATTTTATCTGCCCCTGCGGCCTTATGCAATTTCAACAAGCTGATCTCACGTTCAACTTCTGCGCGTGATGGTGGATCCAAGGAGACGGCCCAGGGAGAAAGGCGCTCAATGCCTGAAGAAGAAAGCGATAACTCAGGTTGGTTAAATTGCCTTACAAAGTGTTCAGCCCAACGCTCCAAGCGTTTTGACAGGCTGTGGATCGGCTGCCCACTCTCGTCACGTATGGTCTCGCTAACACCAGTTCTCCTGCTGCCTGTTTCCCGTATCAGAGGGAATAACTTACGATGATTGCTAACGGTAGCGGCTGTTTCCATCTCCGAGGCACGATGAGACCACCAGGTTTCACGGTCTTTCTTCAGGTTAGCACGTAGTTTCGCCCTGAGATTTTTGCGAGCCTCATTGTATTCGCTTCCAGCCGGAATACGTCGGCGCGCATCCATAAGTTCCAAAGACTGTGTGGAGACCCAACGTCTGGTTTGGCGATTTGCTTTGCCACATGAAGACATGCCTGCTAACAGTAACGTTTTGCGAATATGCGACCAGTGATCTTCGACGGTGTTTAGTGGGCGCTTACTCAGCCCAGATGTCAGCGCACTTTGATACACATTCAGAACACCTGGCTTCGCCACTTGGCTGGTGTCAATCCGTTCACATCGACGTTGCGGACGTCCACTGAAACGCACCCGGAGGTCGGCACAGACAAGTGCGTGGTCAGAGTCCACGCTCGTGCTCCAAATCGAGTGACAGTTTTGGACACGGCATCTCCAGCGGTAACAGATCGCGATATGATCGATTTGCGTCCATGGCTGGCCAGAGGCTGGTGGGCGCCGAGTCACGCTTCTGCGGGTGCTGTGTCGAAAGTTAGTGCTCGCGAGAAAGAGGGGAGCATCTTCACACAGCTGTAGCAATCGCTCACCGTTATCATTACGGAAGCCTACACCATTGTTGGCCGCCCAGATGAAGCTCATCAGAGGACAATTTTCCGACTTGGGCATTTAGATCGCCAACCAACACCACAGTATCCGTGCTTCTTCTGTAACGAAGGAGCTCGTGAAGTTGCTGATAGAAATCATCTTTTACTGAATCAGTGCTACGGTTTGTAGAGGCGTAGGCCGCAACGACAAACAGGCACCGTTTGTCCCCGCGCGACTTCATAGCACGGAACGAACCAGCTAATCTAACGGCGCACATCCGGCTGTTGACAGAAATCCAGTCGATCAGGGCAGCTTCAGCCCGAGGCCTCAAAACAATGCCGACGCCAGCTTGACCGGCATTTGAAGCTGCGTCATCTCCAAACAGGCGCAATGAGAATGTGCCGCCAGTGTCGCATGTGGGGGATCTCAGGGTAAGCACGGAGCTCGAACCTTGCAGGCGGGTTTCTGATAAACAGCAAATATCGATCGACATGGTCTCTGGTGTGCGGGCAAGTGCTGCTTGTTGGCCAATCTGTAGCAAAGTGCGCACGCAGGCAATCTTGATCGGATCGGATGCACACTCCGGGACTGTGCTTCCTTGGTAGAATCTTGACAGTAGCACATGTGTCTACCTGAAATCGTACAGCTTTGCCTTCGATCAAAAGATTTGCGTAGGCACATTTTTACGGTACCCTCCGAGACACCTTGCCAATTGAATGTTCTGCATGTGCGGGGGACTTGTCACGAACGACCGCACTCACATTGGTTGATTGGCAGCAAGGAGCAAAGTAGTTCCTTTTTCCACATCTGGCGCGTTTCCGTCCTCACGCCGGACACTGTTCGTGAGTGCTCGGATGTCGCGTGGCGCACAATTTGCGCTTCTCTTGTCGCGCGTTAGTGGCCTTCGCTGCTCCGTCTCCGGAAACGGCATACAATTCTGCATCTGTCTGCTGACGATCAAACTTGGTGACATTGGTTCGTCTCGCTTTCCAGGCTGCAGGCCACGTGACTTGCCTTGTGCTTCTCTCGAAAATTTACTGGACATGACTCACACTCGGCTCCATTGGCGTGTCTGCTGCCGTCTCCTAGTCGGATTGCCTGTTTAAAGTCTGTTTGATGCTGAGTTATCGTCGTAGTAATAGCTGATTGGGATGCGGGGCAGTGGACGATGCCAAGAAGCTGTGTCGCCGATGTCGCCTTATCTTTGCACGATAGCCACCTGTTTGTGACCGTATGTTTTCGTCATGACCTAGGCACCTTGACCCTGAACGTTTGCTGAAGGCATGAAGTTTTCCAACTAAGTCCCTCTTCTCTCCCTCATTATTCTCCGTCCCGTAGGTCGTTATGATTGTGTGGCAGCGAAGCGTTAGTTCAGTACTGCTGTTGATGATGATGGTGATTTCTCAGGGTGGGGTTCAAGGCCCCTGGCGGTTGACATTCATTTAATCTCACCACGTTGTGACCAATCATTGGTGCATATTGTCTTGCTTTCTACTTTCCCAGGCTAATGCCGTCTTAGCGGCCCCCGGCTCTCGTCTGGCTGATCAGCCTTTCGCCCACACTCTAGCAGTCAAAGAACTGGTGTCCACCACCCATCGTGCCCTATGCGTCACACTCGGACGCCCAAGCCAAATGCGACAATTTAAGGAGAACGAGCCGTCTTCGGGTTTGACCTTGATACAACAGCTCCAAACGTATCTGGCCAATCTGGACACCGAGTCTATTCTGTTGCGTCATATTCAGAACGGTGTGCTGAAGCACTGGCGGTCGATGCATCAGCTGTTGTTTGAACAATACTCTAACGAAGACCGCATGATTATCGCTTGCCCTACAGAGAGCCAAGTAAGTCACCCGTCCTCTTGGGTTAAAATACTCTGTGTTGATTATATCCTCTTCCTAGTAGCAATCTTTTCCCTACTTAGAACTGATCAGCGTCTGCAGCAGTATAAAGGACTGAAAGCCTTTTATCCCCCTGTGGACTTGGGAGATATCACTGTGTAACCTTGTGTCTGTCAGGTGGTGTATACATCGGAAGGTACACTTATCTGAACATGGATCAACATACGAAGCTGAGTTGCGTTTACATTAATCTTACTGCATGGTTCGCACAACCGCGTCTCATGGAGTGTTCCACGATTTGGTACCCTGTGGTAGCGGGTCACAATTAACTTGTACGAGGATAGTTTCATTCACCTCACTGCTTCCGAGAGTGGTTGCTCACGTCGTTCACGTTTGTTTCCAACAGTCCGGTTCAGTGCACCTAAACAACGGTAATCCAGATGCTAAAATTTGGCGGCTCCGGTTACCATAACTATTGTGTATAATTAGCAGTAGTGGGGGGAGAGATGGAACAAGATGCAAAGTAGGACAAAAGACGGAAACTACGAAGATCAGTTGGTTAAAACCAATCTGGTTGGAGTGTAAAGAACCAGCTGCAGGAACTCGAATGCAGGAGCGCCGTTGTCTCAGTGACGACAACATGTCAGATGGAGCTTTTAGCCACTGATGTGGCTGGTCTATGGTATGTTTAGGAACTACAGCACTGTTCACCCGGCATCGCCAACCAATGTTCAACCACAACTCTGTAAGCACCGCTCTGACTGGAGGCAATCATTTTTTTGGTGGTGAAAACCCAAGTCTCAGAACGACTGATGCAGTGGCTGTTTGTCCATCTCGCATCTCACAATCTAGACCTGCGCTACCCACTACTGTACCTCCGGGCTCCCTGGTTACTCATTGCAACGGAAACCAATGGCTTGTTTGCTATTTTCGACTAATCCCATGGTATTTTTAAACTTACATGTTGCCAAGTTATCCGTGGAATGAGACTGACTGTAGCGCGAAATACACACGGAACCAGTCTCTTCACTGTTATCTCATCCTCAGACAACCAGCTATTAATGGCGGAATCGTGTTGGCAAAATGTAAAAAACGATGATCCGGGATAGTAATTTAGAGCGTTTGGGTTATATGCCATGTATTCTCCACTCTACTTGTTCTTCACTGGCTGCTTTCTCTATCAGCCATGGTTGATACCATGGAAGAAGCGTCAGTGCTAATGTGCGGCTCTTGATGGTGCATAAGGATCGTAGCCGTCTTGCATTCCTGTCATCTCTCTGGTGTACCGGTGGATGTGTTTTATTTCAGATCTACCTCAACCCACCTCTCCTCCTATCCAATTCAAATCTATGCGATTTTCCATTTGAGAGTGGTGCTGGTCCCCACATCATTTTGGTGATAACCGTTGCGACGCCAATGTGAACTCTGTAATCACATTGACACTTTTTAACCTCTTTTTTCACACAGATTCGGTTGTTGCTCCAACGGCCCTGACGATTTTCATCTAACCGCACCTGCGGCCCCCAACCCTCGTGTGCAAAGCATGCGAACAACCTGTGATACTGAACTCTTTCTTTTTCTCTATATTATCATTATCATCATCAATACACATTGGTTATGTGGATGAAACATACAGCTAATATGCCACAGTATAACATATGAATAAACAGTTGTGGAGTTTAATGCCAAGAACTTGTATCATGGTTGTTTGAAGTGAGTCGAAACCGGTTGCTTATGCCCATCGGACCACAAATGCGGAACTGTCAACTGTGTCAAAGTTCTGGTGCAGGCGGATTGGAGTTAAAAGTGGGGGGGCGAAAGACACGAGATAGAGTCAGCATGGTGTAGACGTCGTCGGAGCTCCACATGCGTACAAATGAGGCGGTGATGGTAATGGTCACATTGGTCATAATAGATAGTGAATGAATAAATGGAACGCACAATTTCAACGGTGTTGTTAAGGTATAAAAATGGTGTCAAAAATAACGGTAGACAATGGAATTTAACAAAATGTTGTCATTCAACTACGTCGTCGAAGCGTATTTGGTTTAAGTTCAACTTGATAGCGGCCGAGTGATCTGCAATAGGGAGAAGGAAGTTTGCGTTGAGATCAGGGGTTGATCAGCTCATAGTTCTCTGCATTCATTTCAAGTGTATGGTTCGATAATAAAGATAGTAAAACTGGTAATATTATTGCTATTACTTGTACAGTATACCAGTACAATGTTAGTCTGAAAGTCTCGAAACTACCGACTTCCTGCAGATCCCTCCATTTACTGACGGCCCTGTTTCTCCTACACAGCCACACATTTGCCTTTATAGCTATTATGTGCTCGCTCCTCGTCAATCTGCGATTAGCAATGCGCGCACACGTAAACGCAACGAGAATGGAAGGTCCAGTTAGGACGCCGCATTTTGAAAACACATAGTCATATCAATCAAAAAGATGCGTCACAACAGGTTGTACAATTACTTCGCTTCCTATGCTGAAGCCAACTCACTATTATCTGAATGCGTAAATACCAAGTCACTGCGCCCGTTCGGGATCGTCCGTGTCCATTTGGGCTTTTGTCCACCTTGCTGCGGCCCGAAGTACCCTCGGTGGTGGGTTGTAGTAGCCCTGTTTAGTATAATCTTTTCCGTCTCGTGTGCAAAAATCTTCACGATCCGTGAGCCACCATGGCTCTATAGTTGACCTGTAATAAATAAGAAGACAGGTTTGGAAGGGCGTTAACCATTTCCATTCGTAAGAATACCGAACAAAGAGAATCGCGCGTGCTGTCAAAGTTAAAGCTCGATCCACATGCGTTGCTCATTTAATTGTCTAAGTTGGACTTATAAGTTCCAGATACTTACAAATCTTGGGAACCGTTTATGTAACTGCTGTGAAATCGAGCGATTTTCAGTCTCTGGGCCCCAAACAATGAACCATTGTGTCTTGGCCGAAGGTATTCGTTAATTTGAAGATTAGCAAAAGTAACTCGTGCCTTGGCGAGGCACAAGGAGACATCATTCATTAAACCGTTGGCACTATGGAAGTTTTCGAGGTAAATGAACTTGTCTACCACTTTCAAAGAATGACCTGAAAGGGTACTGATAAGAGCAGTGCCTAGCCAGTCCTGCAGAAAGCTCCTGCATTTCGGTGAGGCGAACGTCGTTCCAAACTGGGAGTCAGACACCTCCAACCCACACAGGACATTTTCGGGGGCCTGTGAGGAATCGCAGATTACGCCGATATCATCTGCTTACTCCAAATCTAGAAGTCAGTCCCCGAAAGTAGATAAACGCTGCTGCCGTCACCGTTCTCCAGGATTACGTCCATAGCGAAATAGAACGGGAATGGGGATGCTGAGCAATCCTTCCGCGCGCCACTGGTGATACTAAAGGCGGCGTATGTCTACCGTATACCTGCACTCGGCACGAAGTTTAAGAGTAGATGGCTTCAAGTATGGTGACATGCTTCTCGGGCACTCCCCTTCTCAGTAGACAACTCCAGTGAGTATCTCGGTTCTTGTGTCCGAAAAGACAACTACCGTTGGCTGGCCAACTATTCGACGGCGCGCGAGTATCTGGAGGAGTGTAAAGATGTGATCGATGCAACTCCGACCCAGCTTGCTCTTCACGTATGCTCTGTTCGCGTACCAGGCTGAGCTTTCTCAAAAGCAAAGCTGCGAGCACCTTGGAAGCAACACCTAAGACTAGTCTATCTGTGGTTGGTGCAGTCAGTTCCGGTACCCTTTTTGAAGACAGGCACGATATCTGCTAGACTCCAGAGGGATAACTTCAGTGATCCATATCTCTTGGGGGAGAGAACTTAACTCCTGAACAAGTGATGAGCCGCCATCTTTGAAAAAAGCCGGAAGGAGTTCGTCTGAGCCAAGGTCTTTGTGGCGCTTTAAGAAGCGAAACTTGTGGGCAATCTCAGTCTCGGATGGTGGTGAAGCGTCTACACACCATGGAGCGCTCTGGATTCCAAGGTGAGAACTCATTGGTGCTGCTGGCCAATTAAGCTGCTGCTCAAAATGCTCGGCCCAACGCTCGAGTCGGCGTTCTTGATAGTGGATTGGCTTGCCATTAGTTTCGCATAAAACTTCGGTTACAGTTGACCTTTTGGCGACAGTAGATCGGAGCAGGAGGAAAAGTTTCCGGAAATTCCCCTAGGTGGCCGCTTGCTCCATCTCAATCGCCCGCTGTGTGCACCAGGCCTCGCGATATTCCTGGAAAAGCTGCTTGAGTTCAGCGTCAATAGTCTTGCGTAGTGAATGGTATTTAGCGTTAGCAAAAATTACTCGGCGGGCTCCGAGAAGTTGGAGAGATCATGCAGAAATCCAGTGATTGGCAGGACACTTGGTAAAGCCACAGACTGTCGTGTTGCCCTCCGGGAAGCAAGAAGACTGAGCCGTGATCACGAAGTTGTTTATTAAGATTACGCTCGAATATTTATAGAGTATATACAGTATTTACAACAATCATTTTCAATGGCTCATCCCTGTTATTTGCATTGTGTCGCTGGCTCCTTTTCCATTGGTTTATGTTTGTTCGCCACGTTCATCGTTCTGTCTAAAATCACCTTGACTTACATAGTGGATGTACGATTGGCGGGGTTGGGCCCACGCACTTCTTCCCTCTATCCAATGCCACAAGCCTTGGCTCAAAGGTGCACGAGTATGCGCTCCTTCGCCTGCTGGCGCCTGATTGGTCACTTGTACGTTCAGTGAATGGGTGCAGGCTGCACGCGATTTCCTGATTTAGTCAGGAGCAGGGGATTTTGTGGACGACTATCTGATTTGGAACTGGCTGCGACGAACCCTCAATTATAAGTTCCCTGATTGGTTGACCAATCTGCTTCCGGTAACATGCTCACTCCCTATCAGTCTGGCCTGTGACGTTCGATCGGCATTACAGCATTTCCAGCCCCCATCACGCAGAATAGGTTTGCCGAGTTGTACATGGCGCCGCGGATGTGTGTCCAGTGTGCTCCTACGTCTGTGCATGAGGCAGTCTCCTAGCCTTGTGGCCAAAGCATTCTGAAGTGCACGAAGAACGTTCGGGGCAGAAAGGTTAGCCACGTCAAGCCGTTTCTGGCGACACTGCTGAGAGCCACCAAAATGTAGCGCGAGCTTGGCACACACCGGCGCGTGATCTGAAGAGAAATAGGTACTCCAATTTGCTTTGCAATCCTGTATGCAGCCCCGCCAGCGATAACTGATGGCAATATCGTCAATTTGTGTCCACGGCTGGCGAGGTGATGAGGATCTCCGAAAGCTAGTGCTCGTCAGAAGGGTGGCGATCGACGCAAAGCTGAAGTAAGTGATCAGCGTTGTCTGTTCTACGAATGTCATGGCCTGCTGACCACCCGTTTCAGGCTCATCAACTTTAAGTCTACCGACCTGTGCGTTCAAATCCCTGGCGAGCACCACGATGTTGGTGCGGCACTTTTTACGGAGTAGCTCAGTCAGTTGACTATACTGCTCGTCCTTCACTGATTTATCGCTGCAATCTGTGGGAGCGTACTCCGCGATACCCGGGAACAACAATGGCTCGCATGAAGTTGACTCAGTGCGTTCTTCACTATCGTTGCAGTGACAGTACGGCCCCGTCCGGCTATCTTGGTATGTGCCTATCACGAATGTTTAGTGCACGAAATGTCCACAGGAAAGTTCATGATTCAACCAAACACGAGTTTCGTTCCCGTGATCAAATAACTGTGCATGCATATGTTACAGCATGAATTGTCAACTCTTTCTTGTTCGTAACTCGTCGTTCCTGAACAATACGGATATAAAGAGGAAGAGCGGGTTGATATGCAGAGCATGGCTGTGTGCACTTTTAAATCTGTTCAACTCCATCGGAATATGATCGAAAATCTCAAAAGGTATCTACCACCTGTTGGTACTCTAATCGCTCTTCAGTTTCTTAGATAGCATTTTTAAATATCTGACTTACAATATCACTAGGCTCAAAAATGTGAATTATCATTGTCGATGTGCAATCGTTCTTGAATTGAATGGCGTTAAATGTTAATCCAACACAGATTTGGCTTCCACGACTTGTTCCGGTAGACTGTTCTAAACATTTACCACTATACGTTCGAAGCACACTGGATGAGCACCACATGCTTGTACCGGTGTTCGCATGTGTTGCATGGCGTTCGCAGTTGAAGCAGTGGCCTCAACATTGGAAACTCACCGAGATGTTAAATACGCCAGATCACGATGAAATCGACTCGTAATCCTCGATAGAACAAGGTGTATAGGTCTAGTCTCTCGCACCAGTCTTCGTACGCCAATCCTCGGGATGAATCTGGTAGCGATGTGTTTGACCCGTTCGATCACCTGGGACACCGCAGGTCATTGGACAATATGTGGGTGAGCCACACTCTAATATTGATCGTATGGTCGAAGCGAAGAGACGCGTGGCGACCTCTTCAGACCAACTACAGACGTTGTGTTTGAGCACCCAAATTATGCTAGGCAAACCCCGTCCTAATCCGACTGCAACCGCGGAAACCCGACACCTCTTCTTCAATTTTCTACGCCGTACCAACAATGTATTCAGTTAGGTCAGCATGATTTCGTTTTTGAGTACATAAGGGGGAATCATGGTCCAAGCTGATCAACCGGGTGAACTAGACAACCACTTTGAAAGTCGGAATAGACCACAGTGTCTGCTCGATTTTCAGCTCCCAGTATGTATTTGCGCCTAACGTTTTCATCTCCCCCAATAGATGTGCACAGGCTGCTTTCATAACATGGATTTCAGTGAACGACCTTGCGTGTGCATACTTCGCATTCAGAGGTCAATCGAAGTCCGCCTAAGCAACTTCTTTTCTGTACGTCCACATACGAACTCGATAACAGCCTGAAGTCTGACAAACACGGATTCTATGTATAGTTCTCAACCGTAAATCGAACGGCCAAAGGACCGAATACAATGGTCGTCGCGGTTTTGGTGGAGTACACAACTGGGCTGTCCTTCGGCGTCCAAACACGGTGTCGAAGGTTGTTTCGTTGTCAATGCTTATCGGCGCTGATCACTTAAAATAGCTGTAAGAGAATCGCAACCGTTTGCATCCAGTTAACTGGCGATAATCGTTATCTCGATCTCAGACCGACTGCATAATCACATGCAGTATTGCTAGTTGATATGAAGCTTTCGATTGTATTTCTCTCGGTCATGCCCATTTAACGCTCACTGTCGCAGTTCCGACGAAAAACGCAGCTTCGAACTTGTGCACCATTATTATCAATGTGAGTTACGTCAACTGTCACAGATGAAAGCAGTGGACGGACCAAACCTGCATTGAGACCAACTCCAGTCTATTGATCGGAAAGAATTTTCCACAGCCTCTTCACCCAGATGAGTCACCCGATCAGCGGTTTTGGGGCTTCCTTAGATCACAAATACCTACTGCGGTTAGAAGGCAGCTTCGGAACGTCCGTAATGCTCTACTTAATGGTGTCAGGTTTCGCCAGGAGCGCTGGTGGATATCGAGGGTCATTGACGCAAGGAAGACAAGCAACATTGGAATACCTGGATACCAAGCAACCTGTCCGAGGTACATGACTAGTTCAAGGACGATTGGCCCGCTCTGTGAATAGTCATCGGCGTTTAACTGAATACATGTTTCAATTGCTTTGGGGTGCGAATTGTTGATTGTGCCACCAGAACCCAAACAGGACTTTGAAGTCACGGT